CAATCGTAATTTCGCCTTCCTGTTTCAACATGCGCATCGACTAACAATCTATATAAGGAGAAATCATCCGATCATTGAATAGGTACGTATTTACAGGGTTTTATAAAATGATATATAAAATATATTTATGATCTTTCGAAATTGAATGAGAAGTAAATCTTAATTGTACTTAATCAAGATCTTTGCAGATCCATTGTATAAATACGAAACTACGATGATAAAAAGTCAAAACCACGATGATGAAAAATTGAAACTACGACGAATGAAAATTCAAAATAACGAAACAACGATATCAAATTGTCGAAAGTTTGATTTTAAAGACACGAAATTATCGTGGATTCGTTATTTTGACTTTTCACCATGGTTATTTCGTGTTTTCGTTGTTCCTAGTGTTGTGTGTGTGTCGAGATGGCCCTTACGGGACACCGTAGAGAATATATTGCCGTAGTCTAATTAATTGTTGTGCACTTCACTTTTCTTTACAAATTAAATATGTTCATCCATTAACAAAAAACACGATACTATATTCTCAGGTTATTAATCAATGAATCGTCCGAAAAGGAAAAATATCGGATCGACACATGGAAGAATTTAAAAACATCTATGGAATGATAATAAAATTTCATATTGTCATATTGAAGTTGTAATCTGCTTTAAAATATTTTTTTAATCTCCACGCAATGATCTCCCCTTCATTCTTCGGCATTATTACTGTGGCAATAAAGGGAAGTAACCACTGCGAGGAGTTTGCTAGTTTCTATAGGAGTCGGTAAAACATACACAAGAAAATGTATCGCAACACATGACTTTGTACTGTGAAGACATGTAAAAAATGACTGCAAAATATTGGATAGTGAAATGGGTCGTTGACAACACATTAATCTAAGATTACGTTTTGTCCAAAATAAAATTGATTTACAATGCTCAACCGGTAATACTTGTACGTAGTGTGACGACAAAAAGTTAAATTGTAATCATAATTTATTAGCACAGTCATTATCTAGAGTACACTTTGCCGACCACACCTATCTTGCACAATAACAGGGAAGTTAACGATTTAACAGTTAACGAGTGTTCTGTTACCGCTGGGTTTTTTTTCTTTGATTCACACAATATTTTGTGGAAACAGATCGTAGTTTTGTTGTGTTGATAAATGAGATACATGAAGACAGTCTTTTTGGAAATTAATGAGTTAATGAATATGCTGACAGTCATTGTTATTTTCTGAATAATTCATATTTCGTTATAAAAGCTAAGTGTACACGGGATCAAACATGTAATAAATCATCACAATTACTTTTGTCTTCTATTGTAATCATGCAACATGTATATGTGAATAATATGATGTAATGTTTGATTTATTGATATTTATTTAGCCCTAAGCTGAGAGTATTTGTTTGCAAAATAAATATGAATAACTACAGAAACAAGGGATACTAAATGGGATTTGTATTCTGCATCTCTATATCCGTATATACATGTTATGAAGATATATACTTGAATTTTAACGTCAGTGTCACCTGTACTTCATTTGTAAGCCCCATCCCCTGCCACAGAAAAGCACGCACACATTCGCGCGCGCACGAACGCACCTATATTTTTTCCTGTAAGGCTGACCTCAAATACAGCAAATCGTTTATATTGAACATGAATTTAATGGTTGATAACAGAGATATTGTAATAAACCATCCAAGACGTTGCATTTTTTTATATAAAAGTTAACTTCTGCCCTCATGGTCGGCGCGGCATACTGTTCGTACCAGCTATACACTTACTACTGTATTTATGATGAAATACTATGTTTTATCATCCTTGCCGGTTATTCCACTTATTTCACGCAAAAGATCTCTTGACACAACTTGAAAAGTATGTTTTTATTAGAAAGTCTTACATTTCTCACGGCCTTCCTCGCCGTCGTTCTGCGCATGCGCAGTACACATAGTCTTACATCCTCACGGGTCTTAAGAAATTCACGCTACACCGGTATATTGTTTTATTTGTTTATGAGATTTCATTAACTTATGCAATTCTTTTTTATATATCTTATATATAATACATTAGTGTATTAAATTATATTAAAACGCCTCAAGCCAATTTATTTTACGCAATATTATAAAATTGAAATTACAACTATTTTTTATTACGTTTTGAATTGTTTTGTTTTCCACCAAATAGATGAGGTTATAAAGCCGAAGAGAAAATTATATATCGACAAAGATACCATATTATATATAAGCTGCAAAGTACACAAATTGATTTATTTAGTATATTTTGTATTCTTTATAAATGGCGATGATACTTATAATGTTTTAATAGTATATATCTAATATCAGTTATTTATTTAGTATATTTTGTATTCTTTATAAATGGCGATGATACTTATAATGTTTTAATAGTATATATCTAATATCAGTTATTTATTTAGAATATTTTGTATTCTTTATATATGGCGATGATACTTTATAATGTTTAAAAAGTACATATATCTTAAAATCAGTCAGGGGTGTGACGAATAGATGGTCTTACTATGAACAATGATATATCAAATAACGACATAAATGATAGTTTATTCTTATAAATCGGTAGAGGGACAATGGAAGCCATTTAACAGTATATCTTATGTTTTAGTTTAAACATATTTTATTCATCAATTTTTACAAGCATGTAACATTTTTACATCACAATATATATGGATTGGAAAACAAGCATAACACTTATATTAATTCCTTTCCATATGTTTTGAGAATGCAATAGAATGGTTTAAAATAGTTTAAATATCAGGAAGTACATAAATGATAACATTCATATATATTAAATACCACAATTTGCTTGGAGGATTTTTACGATGTTTCAAATGTGTGTCAATAAGATCTATACACAAAATTATATACATGTATGCGTCCGTCTATCATCTTTGGTAACCCTGACTATTAAAGGCTCATTATGCCCGAGAAAACATTTCGTTTCTAATGCTCAAAAGCATTTTATTTATGGTGTTCTGAAATAACTTTTTTAAAAGGTTACTCATTTGCCAATTACCTGATACATCTTTTCTTCTACAACCTTTCGGCAATTAGTACAGTAAAATTGATTTATTATTTTGTATGTAAGTAAAATACTACTTTGTTAATATTTTCCTACTTTAATGACAAATAATTTCACATTCAGCGCTATTTATTCATATGATAAGTATCAGTACTCTAAAACCATTTTATCATCGTTATAAAACTCATGTTTGCCCTTTCTAAAGAATGAAACAAAATATTTATTTCTGAGGCGAAATGTGCCTTTAACCATCATCGGTAATTAAATGCCTCTTTGGCTTCGATGATTTTAAGGAAATATTATCGCAATTTTGAGTGCATTTTTGTAGAATAATGCACTGCGCAGGAATATAATTATGAAAAATGATTACTTTCAAAGCATTTAAACCATAAACCGGGCATTACTATACTATTATGCAAGCAAGAAAAAGTCATGTCTTTTTTCATTCTAATATACTAATAAAACAGAGAATTGATAAAAAAATATGTTGAACTACATAAAGCGTTGAAGTAATTTTCATGACGTCGTGTGGTTAATTGAGGTCATATCTGACGTCATATGACGTGTACGTATTCTTTCATTGCTGTGCATATATCGTGTGCACTTGATTGCCCTATCTGTTTGATAAGGAAATAATGTGAAGCCTGTCAGAATATTTTATTTACTTCTGTTGTTTTTTTATTATTCCTTTGTTGTTTAAGTTGCACATGTTATGTCATTGAATGTTCTGTAGGAACTATTAAAATCAATTATCTTGGTCTATTTATCTTTTAAGCCTTATGTAAATAAACGAACTGTTTACTTTTTTCGTTCACGTTCCAAGTTTTGTAAACAACTTTTATACGTTTCATGTGATTTATGTAATCTTTATTGTTATACCTTATTGTTTACTAGACTATATTTAGCCTGCTAAGAGATTACACGGAAATTTAATATAAATTTCGGACTGCTAACTAAAAGGTCTTATTCATTATGTTTTCCTTGCTTTACAACTCAAATGTCTCCTCAGCAATTTAAGACAACGGGGTTGTTAAAAAATATGATGGATATGAAATGGCCCGAAAAATATAACCATGACTTATTCCTATTAAATTTTGATGGCCAAATTTAATTAACCGTATGTATAATCGCTATTTAGGAAAGTTTTCCTGTATGTTTGATACAGTAATTGCCTTTATATTTGTTACAGTTCGCCAAAGTTTGTCTACCAATGAAATCGCTCTATTTTGTTTAAATTTTGCCGAAGTATTTTCCATACAGTGCTGTAACTCAACTGTATGTATTAAATACGTTAAATGAGCCGATTTAATGGACTCCGCCTATTTACATAGTGCACTCGGTTTGAATAGGCGGGGCTAACTGTAAGTCGGTTATAGGTTATATACAGAGTTTTAAGAAACTAATTTTCTCGCTTCACTTCGTTCGCTCGAAAATTAATTTCTTAAAACTCTGTATATAACCTATAACCTATACTTATGGAATTGAGCTATTTTGAAGCGTGTTATGTCAGTGTTACAGTCTCTACAAGACAATATTTTTTTCTAACATTTTACTTCTTAATAATAATCTTTTTTCTCATAATAATTTTTGTAAACACATTTGTCTATGTGCTTTGTTTGTTGTTTTGTACTTTCCTCATTTCGTGCTAATGTACCTGAGAGAATAAAGAATATCTTCTGTTCTGATCATGTAACCTGTAATTTAATCATTCATTTTACTGATAAATATCAAGATGTTTTTTTATCTTCAATAACTTAAATTCGTGACTAACCATGTATTTGAAATTAAAATAAACATTTTAAACAGAAGAAGAAATTTCGGTTAACCAAAGTGTAAACATATAAAAAATAAATTAAGTATAAGTATGATTTTTTTTGTATATTATCTAAAACCAACACTGTATTTATTTTTACTTTTAATTTTTAATAATTTTTTTAAAATAAAAAATTTAAGTTATAAGACATGATTGTATCATATTAAATCTCAAAATGTATACATGTTAATATAATGGTTTTTATTAGATGAAGAAATGTTAATTTTTAAAACTGAGACAATGAAAAATGATAGTTAACAAGTTAACATGAGCAACAATGCAAAATATGTATAAACAGGAAAAATAAGTTAAGCATTTGCATAAAACATGTAATTTAATTGTCGTAAAGGAATTAAATAGCTTTTCATATGCAAGAACCTTCAATATGAAACATGATGATGCTTTATGTACATATTCAACATGATTGTTTGCATTTCTTCAAACAACTTTTTATATTATGATATAAACTGTATCTTCATAAGGTTTCATGTCATGACAATGACCTTTTTTCCAGCAGACGATACACAGGGGAACTATTTGCCGTCCACACTTAAAATATATAAACAAATTTCACTTTAAAATTATTTTCAGTGCAATCCTTTCTTTTCATGTTATCTAACAATCGCTTGTTTTCTTTGGGGTAGAGGTTACACCAGTAAACATGCTTCCAGATCTCCTTGCCGGATTCTTCTCACAGTTTCCGGTAAGAACTCTCTTGAAAGCAAGTCTGAAATTTTTATCCATCAGTGTATAAACAAAAGGATTCAGGCAATAAAGAAGCCATCCTAGCATTGTAGTCCAAACATGGTGAATGGGATATTTGTACCCTGTATCGGAGACATTTAAAATGAAATATGGAAATGTGCCGAGAAAAAATATGGAAAATATACATAGCATCATTGCTGAAACTCTTAAAGCTTTTCCTTGTGGTGTATTTCCTTTCCATCGACTCATTCTTTTAAAACTTCTTTGAGCAACTATGCCAATTCTGACGTAGCAGTATATGATGAAAATGCATGGTACTATAAATCCAGCAGTTACAGTTACGATACGGTTTGACTGCTCGATTGTTTTGTCGAATGTACATGCTAATATAGACGGCTGAAACTGGAATCCTCCCCATAAACGAAACGTTGGCGGAATAGTGAAAACTAGTGGAAACAACCAACAAATTGTAAGTGCTATTGACAGTTGTCTAAACTTTGACATAAATCTGTATTTATTAATGTGCACAACATTCAGGGAACGGTATAAGGCAATTACACATAAATGTACCATGATGACTCCGACCAATGTGTAACGAATTCCTCCCGCCGCCGAACAAAATACGTCAGACACTCTTTGGGAATGACGGTGAAAAATCACTGCCTGCATGCCGAGTATAAAGGAACAGTACAAAAATCCTGCTAAACTTAAACTTCCTATTAATATACAATTAATATTGTAACGAAGGCTTGAAAGAATGATAGCTAGAAGTGTTAAGATATTTCCAAAACTTCCAAGAATACACAGGATTAAAACAATCACTTCTAGAATTATCAAAGCACTGGTTTCACCGCACCACCATTCCGAGCAATCGTTATTCAACGTTGAATTATCCTTCACCGGTAATGACATTGTCTTATTTATTTCATGGCCTTACTTATGGTTAAATGCAAAAAATTCATAATTGTTTTAAGACGGTAAATCCAAAAGTTTTATTCCCAATTTATTAACACTTTTTTTTTTCTTACTACAAGTTTAATACATCACTTATTTCCATGCACTGAATAATTCAATTTAACCATGTATTCCCAATATTAAAACACCAACGTTATATTCAATGATAACTCATTTTCATAAAATTGACAGATCTTTTAAGACAAATTCCATAATTACTGTCGGAATAACTTTGTAATATATTCGTACACGTATTAAATCTTGCCATGGATATAACGTCAACACACTCAGTTAAATATATCACAGATATATGTTACCCTTCGACAGCTTTAAAAGCGATCGTTTTCCAATTCAATATAAATTGTATAGTTATCTAATTTCTCAATTAAATATTTAAACAGCGCCGCACAACGTACTTATCCTATGTCTAATGTTTACGACTCGGTGATTTTAAATGCAGTATTATAGTATATTTTTATCGTACATACATATACGTAGAATGCTTAAAACAGTCCGCATCATATACATTAACCTTGAAACGAAAATACTGCGGTTTAACTTACGCATAAAATTTTCACAACTAGTATTTCAACGACGTTTCTCATTCCACCACATTAGTAATTTCCACATGCCTACGATATCAAACAATCTTCCCTAATTATTTTAAAGTGTCATAAACATCGAGTTGTATCAAAATTCACAAATCCACGATATCAAACCAAATTCATATCAACGAAATCTGAATATATCAACGATATCTTAAAATGTTTACATCCATGATATATCACATCGTTAACAAATCCACAATATCGTTCACACAATGTTCACATGTCCACGATATATTTCACACCATGTTCACAGATACATGATATCTCATTTAATATGTTTCACAAATCAATAATAAATAAGAACGTTAACGAAAGCACAATATCTAATTTTACGTTCTAAAATCCATTTTCACTATCAATATTCTGAAATTAGTGGTATAAAATAATTTCAGCCGATCCACGATTAATATTTGCACGATATAAACTTTTATTAATATTTGATGTAAGATACCTAAATACTGTTTTCGGCAAAAAAAGTTATGTTTTATTCATTGCAGGAATTTCACATTGATCAATTAAATTTGTCTGTAAAGCAAGGTATGATCTACGTTACTCCAGAATTGAAGAAATATTCTGCCAAATAACTGGAATATTCATTATTTTAAAATCGAAAACAACTCATGTTTGTGTTATATGCGACCAAGCAACCTAGTTAATTTAAGTCCTTTTTTCCAACTTTAAGTCTTGCTAAATTATAAACCGTTTTGAAGTGATTACATTTTAAAGTCGATGTACTTTATGTAATTGATGGTAAATGACTCTTACTTCAAATATTTTATTGGTTTACTCAACATTCACAATCCTTATATATTATAATTGTTACGCGGTGTTAACATGAAAAGAAATATATTCGCCCTCAAACATTTCGTTTTTGATTTAAATGTAAGATAAATACGATTCTATTCATTTAATCAGAAAATTGCTCAAGTAATTAATTGTCCGGGTCAAATTTGTGATAAAAATCCGTTATAACCTTGTGAAATGTCACATAATTTGTTACGCTTTCATACAACAATCTTGCTTTTATACCACAATTTTGCTTTCATACCACAATTTATAAAAAAAACTGTAGAAATAGTCGATATAGATTTAAGATTTAAAGTTTATTTTTGTATCAAGGTAGTATGTTTATGAAATTGTTGTAAAGTTATAATCTCCAAGGTGAAATCAAACAGAGATCTGTTTGACTAAATGTTTAGGTAAATTAATTTATATTTTTTTGTATTTTTTTTTTTGCTTTAGTAAATATTCAGTTACAATTATTTCATTCAAATTTGTTATAACTAGAAATGGTGCATAATGATAAAGGATAATTGGTTACCTGTATCACAACGTAAACGTTATATTGTAAGTAAGACATTCCAGTCGAAAATGTGCTTACTGTCGATTTTTCTGTAAATTTCCCTTGTTTTCAACAAAGTTAAATTCTGGTATTTATGCTTTTAAAAAAATGCAAATGACAGAACCGGAAGCATCAAAATAACCTAATATAAGATATATCAAAAAATATATTATTCTGCCAATATCACTGCTGCAACTTTATTTTGTACAGATCTACGAGGTGCTTATAGAAATTTTCTGATGCTTTTAACATATCGTCATGGTACACATAATTGCGCGCCACGACAAAATCAACATAATGGGTTTGCGACCAGCATGGATCCAGACCAGTCTGCGCATCCGCGCAGTCTGATCAGGATCCATGCTGTTCGCTTACCAACCCTATTACAAATAGAGAACAGTATGAATCCTGATCAGACTGCGCGGATGCGCAGGCTGGTCTGGATCCAAGCTGGTCGCAAACGCACTATGTTGGTTTTGTCATAGCACGGCTCATTTAATGAGAAAACTGTCACTAAAGATCAATATTTAACATAAAAATTTCATTAAATTCTCATCAATACTGTATATTATGTAATGATAAAAAGTTCTGAATTTTTTCATCACATGTTATCGACATTGCCTCGGGGAATAAAGAAGCGTAACAGAAGTTAGTGAAAGTATTTTCATAATATTACACCTTGTAAATGTGTGTCACACTTGCCGAGTTTGACATAATAAAACGGACAAAATATGTACACTATTTGTCATACTAATTACTGTTTAAGGTATTTAATATTTCAAGTGTTTTCGTGACATGACTGATAAGATGTTGTTTTAACATAAAACTTGTTAAATTTACAGCAGAATATGTTTCCTTAACAAATAAATATTATTTAAATAACCGTCATGTTGTTACCATGTTTGTAACCTGATTTACCAATAAAGAGTATTGTATTGTATTGTATTGTATTGTAATAATGTGCTTCGGGAAGTAAAATAAACCAGGAAGATTCTCCGATGCCACACGTTTATTCAAATGGTAAACATTAAGCATAAACACTACATTCTAAAGACAATCGCTTAAATGTTTGTTGTAATTCTTGTCAATTTATATAATGATATGATCCTTTTTTCAGAATATGAAAATATAATTACGATAATTTCCTATAGGTCATTCTAATTGTTAATTCAAGTGTACCATGTGACTAAGAGTTTTGTACTGTTACATAGGTAACAGTTCCTCTTCAAAGTAGAAATCTGAAAAATAAAAATCTTATAGAAACAGTGTCAAAATGAAGTATTTGTTCATGGTAATTAAATAAATAACACATAGGTTCGTAAGTTACAGCAAAAATATCATCCCCCGAAAAAATACTGTTACATGTACCCGAGGCATTATCAATATTTTTCTCGGGGTTACTGTAATTTATATTATACCATGGTGTTAAATTTATTGAAGTACAGATGTTCTCTAACACAAATTGTAATGTAATGAAAAGAAACTTATTCTACAGTTCAATTTTATAGCATTGAAATTAAATAGGGAGTCTCAAGGCAAATCCAGTTAAATCTATGACTAGACAAAAACCTTTTTTTATTATTTAAACGATAAGATAGTATTCCCGTCTACTTGTATACAAGATTTTCATATGGTGAATTAATTCATTTACATGCTTTGTTGCTACTTTCCAAATGTGTTTGTGTAAAAACACAACATTATGTTTTCCAGTTTCTTAAGAAATCCAATTAAATAAATGATCAGCTTAAATATGATTCAGGCCCCATATGGTACAAAACAGCTGGTAAACTAATTATAAAAATACAGAATAAAGCAATATAAAATACATTAAAAACAAGCATTCAAAGTTTGCTGACCGGAAAATCTTATTTTCTTATCAAGTTGTATCATCCTCAACATATGATTAAAATGTATCTTCTTTTTTCTCTCGATTAGAAACTGGTTAAATCGTTACATATCTTAAGTTAAAGCCTTCCAAAGAAATTCATGTAGCCTAAATGTATTATTAAATACAATTATTAGATTTTATGTCACGTTTGAAACATTCTATTAAAATGATTCCTTAAAAGTGAAACTTAAATATTTTGTTTTAGTGACTTTGTTGATGATAGGCTATGAAAAGTGCAACATTTCTAAAGCAGACTGGCAATGGCTGATGCAATATTCAATCATCCAGTTTCTAATGGAAAAGAAAATATGAGAAAAAATGTAAAATCATAATGTTGTAGCAATGGCTCATGGTGTAGTATACCGCTTTGTGTGTAAAGAGGCAAATGGTATTACCCGTGAAACTATTTCAGTTATGTCTTTTTGTCTTAAATAACTGTTTCAATGACAACATATTCTGAAAATGAAAGATGTGTAATCGTTTTAGCTGTTTATTTTATCTAATAATTCCGTTAATGGTCTCTCCCTGTGTCGCTATTGCACCATACGTTTTTATTTGGTGCATCATCGGTAGTCCTGTGTAGCTGGGTATTGTTTTGGTCTGCGTTTCGTCAATGTCGCTCTCCCTTAGTCTTTCCGTACATATTTCATACTTCATTGTTGTAGTAAATTTAGAAATGTGTCTTATATAATATGAAATTTGAATTACACGATGAATCAAATTGGTTTTTGAGTTTTGATATGTATTTTGTAATCAGTGTTATCTCTGGTAAGTTAAAGATAATTAACTGGAGAAAAGACATTTCGGCGCCAACAAGGATATCAAATTCAATTTTTTTGAAAACATATTAATTAACAGACAATAAATCATAAATTTGATAATTTGATAAAATCACTGATTATAAAGAGATTCCTTTAGATAGGTTTTAAAATTAATCTTCATCATAATTTTTATTTTTGCATGAAATCCAAGCATTTTTCAAAACTTGCACAAGGCAATTGGTCTTATACTTATACATATGTTCAATCTCTCTGGCCTCAGACTTAAATTGAACTAGATACAACTATTTCTTTTAAACAGCGCTCAGCATTAGCAGTCCATAATTTGAGACTAAATGGACATTAAAGCAAAATGCACAGCACTCAGTTTTAAAGTATATATAAGGAATATACATATCGTTAAAGAAAGATGTTATCACTGCAACAACAAATAAACTCAATAACGTAGC